GACTTGAACTGTGGTTGGCCACAGAGGAGTCCAGCGCCTTAGCCACCACACCACCTGCTGGCCCCTAACCTACTTGTTTTAAAAGTTTGTTTGTTTCTTCTGTGAGTGAGAGAGAGAGACAGAACGAGAGAAAGCAACCCTGGCAGTCCACCCTCAGCTTTAGATCATGGTCACACACATGCCCAACACACTCAGGGAGGTCTCTGGCTGTGAACCCAGGACCTTCGTATGTGAGTCAGTCTTTCAGAGTCTCTCATTTTACCACTGCACCACCATTCAGCCCCAGTCCATTTTTATGGAAGAGGAAACAGGTTGAGAAATCACACAGCCAGTAAAGGACAGAACAGCCTGGCTTCCATATTAAAGGGATGGATGAAAATAAGGTGAGACAAGGAGACCAGATGAGGAGTTAATTGCAATTCCAGCAGACAGTGACTGCATGGGAAATGGGCAAAATCACAGTTTCTTGTAACTATTAATTGAGAAATGCATCTGAGGTATCCAGTGCAGGGCCTAGAAGCTGGCAGATGTATATATATATATATATAATGAATGTTACTTTGATTTTTTTCAAGAGATTAAGTAAGAACTGCTGAAGACCTGGGTGAAAACAGGAGAGAATTATTCTGGAAGCAGCACTGACAGGACTCCAGCAATGAAGGAGGGAGGCAGGAAGTGGAGGCTCGCACGGCTATCTCATGTTGCTATTTAGAGGGACAGAGAAGGAAGGGTATAAGAAACGTCTTGTACAATGTGCTGCGGGTATGGAGGAGGGAGAGAACAGAGCTGAAGAAGATTAGCAAGAAGCAGGCCCTAAACCTTCTGAGCTGGGCAGATGCTCAACAGAGGTACTGTCTTCCAGGCCTCTAGCTGACAAGGAATGTCAACAAACTGTCAAACCCTTGTCCAGATGTATCCGCTTCTGTCCCAAAGCAAATACTTTTTATCTACATGGCCATGAGCAAGTGCTTTAGCTTCTTTGTGCCTCATTTTTATCATCTGAAAATGAAGATAATAAGAAACAGGACTTCGCTCATAGGGTTGTTGTGAATATATACAGAGTACTTGGCATGGTGTTGGATTTGTAGTGACTAGTTGATAAGTAGTAGAAATTACCATTACTGTGTGTGTGTGTGTGTGTGTGTACATATATAGATATAGATAGATAGATAGATAGATGAGGATAGATAGATATGACACACAGATAATGGCTCTGAGCACAGAGTAGAACCCGTGCCTTTTTGTTTATTGCAACTTCTCTAGCCAGCTCTCAGGACAGTGACTGGCTCACAGTAGCTATTTACACACTTGTTGAATAAAAAAATCCCAAGTATGCACCCAGGGGTGCCTGCTAATAGCTTTGGCTCCCCACCTCCAGCAACCCCAGTTAGCACCAGGTTGAATGTTCAGAGTTGGCTCACTCGGTATTCCCCAATTTGGGGATGATGAGTACTGAGGCCTCTCATAGGCCAGGGCTGGCTGTAGAAGCCCCACACCTTTTCCATCCCCTATGACTGATGAGCTCCCTTCCTCCCGCTTGCCCTCCTCTTCCTTCGGTCCATCTTCCCACCCACACAAACATCCATCTTAGATGGTAGAGCAGAGTGGCCTAGTCACACTTTTCTGTCCAATGTGATTAAAACATACAGAACATAAAATATACCATCTTAACCATTTCCAGGTACAGTTCAGTGATGTCCAGTGCCTTCACTTTGTTGTGCGACCATCTGTACCATTCATCTCCAGGACTTTTTCATCTTTCCAAGTAGAAACTCTGCACCCATTGAGCACTAACTCCAGTCTCCTGTCTGTAAAGCCTCTGTGTACCATCATTCTGCACTTTGTCTCTAGGAATCCAACTCCTCTAGGAACATCATGTAAGTGGAATTATGCAGTGTTTGTCCTTTTGTGACTGCCCATAAGTTTTTCAATCATGTCAACTGTGTGATCCTGGAAAACTCAACTGTCCTGAAACTACTTTTTCACCTTTAAAATGGCTGTAATAATAGTACCTACCTCACAGGGCTGTTGGGAGATTTAAGTGAGCTAACCCAGTGCCTGGTGTATAGAAAGTGTTCACAGGGGACTGGATGGTGGTGCAGTGGTAAAATGTGACACTGTCAGATTGACCCGTGTAGGG